GCCCGGGTCGATATTAAAACTAAACCAATGTTATACATTTCCATCCTACAATTGCACTTGGTCGTATTTTGGTGTTATGTTATAGCATGTCACACATAAAGACAAAAAAGAAGAAGCGACTTTCGTAAGAGCGTCTCGGAGATGAGAAAAGGGAGGGTGAGCTTCATCAACAAGATTTATCGCGGGTATGCATCCTCTAGCTATTCCAGGTTTGTTCGCTCTTTCATTCGCATTCTGGGTTTTGAGTTGCGGTTTCTATGGAGTGTTTTAATTAACCTTGTCATTATAGTACTATAATCTTGTAATTGTTCCTGTTATTTTGAATATTGGAGTGTTTTAATTAACCTTTTATTGTAAACTTGTTGAAGATTTCATAATGTCATTATTAATGCTCTAAGGTTGTCATTATTACTATGATTTTTTATGAGATTGTATTATTTCATTTCTATTGTTTATAGACATGAGGAAGAGAAACCAAGTCTATGAGAGTGATAATGATGGAGCCACCTCCAAGAAGTACACAAAATGCAAGAAGAAGCTGGACAAGCCCTTTGGCAATGTATTTGTTGCTGGTAGAGAAGGGGTTAGTTGTTGATGGCAACTGAAAAAATGGAGCATAAGAACAGGTTGAGAAGATGATGGAGGAAAGGGTACAAAGATGTGAATTTAAGGAAAATCCCTATATCGAAGGACGAATCAAGAAGTTGAAGAAAATATGAAGTTGATGGATGAAATCAATGTATAGTTGGAAACCCAAAAGAAGCAATTGAAAGTGTTATTGTCTCAAATGAACAAACCAATTTGGCTGCAAATTGATAGCTTTTATTGAAAGACGACAATCAAATTATATACAATGTTTTTTGCCCTCAAGTTTGCCTCACTCCATTAACCACAAGCAACCCCTCAATCCCACATCCCTAACTTTCAGCAGCTACTAACAAACTCAGCTAGCAACTCTGATATTCATCCCTAATACACCTTACTTTAAACACCAACACTCAACAAACAACCCATCTAAACAACTTGACCCAATTAAAACCAAATAGTAGTCATAGCCCAACCTAACGATAGTCACAGCCCAACAGTAGAAGCAGCTTTGATCCATCCTGTAGACAACACATTTTGTTCGGGACAATCACTCTACTTTAAACTCAAAAAGGAAAAATTGAAGTTGAAGTTTGGACAAAGTTTATTGAGATTATCAGAGGCTAGTCAATAGGTACCAATGGCTTCCAAATTCCATCGTATTTATTTCTAATACAAAATTGGTTGAGATTAGCAATGGCTAGTCAATAAACGTCAATAATCAAGTTCACTCCTATTCCATTTATTAAATTAAATAAATTAAGATTAGCAATGGCTAATGCTAAACATCGAGTGCCACCATGATTGTTTGTAACTAATTTTCAGTTAGTATGACAAATAAATTTGATGTTAGGAATCAAACTTAGAAAGGTTGCTTCAAGTTTGGATAAGGATTTGATTTTGTAGGACTTTTGTCAAACATTTGTGTTATAACTTAGAAATGTGTCTATTACAACAATGAATGACATGATTAATATTACATTAGGTCTTGCACAAGTCATTACATATGCAAAATAAGTAAACAAATTTGTAAGTACCTCCTTAGCTCATCACCTTGGGACCAAAAGCAAGGACCTGCAAAAAGAAAGGAAAATAGATAAGTTTTAAGCCCAAATTATTAGAAACCATAAACCCTTTACAAGCCCACCAATTTTGGGTCAACCCGGTCAAATCCAGGTCAACCAGGTTAACCATGTCAACATGGCTACAATCTGGCTCAAAGGGAAAAATAAAAAGCTGTAGCCTCCTCTGCAAATTGGCCACCTCTTGAAGGAACCACTCAAGTCTCACCACACAACCACCTGCAACAAAAAGAAAACAGTTAAAGTAGAACCAGATTCAAACATGCAAGAACTGGCTGCTGCCTCTTCAAAATGTCAAGGCGCCACCTCTCAAGGAGACCAATCAAACACGTCCAACACCACAAAATGAACAGTGAAAAGGCAGCTATATATATAGGGGTTGGTCGGTTACAATCCGGGGGGTGGGGGGGTTGAGAAAAATAATGGAGGTCTAATTGGGGGAGATTTTTCGGCCATCTTTTAGGAAAGAAACAGAGTGATTGGAGTTTCGGTTTTGGGGAAGGAGAGGCGGAAAAGAAGGAAGCAAATCCGAATTCTCAAGAGAAGGGAGCAAGAAATCACACCGCTAGGATCTATTGCCATCAAACAACAGAAACCAGGTTGGTTTTTCTCCAACTGAAATATAGTAACATACTTCCTAGATCTAGTACATACATTTGCTTGAACAATCATTCAATCCATCATGAAATCCACTAGTATAAATCATATGGATGTGATTTTTACTCTTTGTAGCTAATGTAAGATTAGATTTCTATGCAATTTATTGAACGAAGCTTTTGTGCAACTACTTCTGCCTACTTAATGCTTCACTTAAGATCATCTATATTTCAAGAAGAAGAAAACATCATATTTTGTTAACATGATTCAAAAAGTACATGTAGTTTGCAAGATATAGCGTTTGTTTTGTTTGGATAGTAAAAGAGATAGCTTATAAATAACTGTGTGTCAACATTTTTAATCACAAGATCTGCCTATGCAAAGCTAAAGCAAAATCAAATTTGTTTTCTTTACTATGTTTCCATGTTTTCCTTTGAGCACTTGGTCTAGATGGTATACTAAATATTATGTAAAACCAGCCCAGATCTTGCTTAAAACACATGTTTGATCCCTTCTTAACATAGCCACGAGCATAGGAATCATTTCCAACCATTGAAAAATGAAGTGACCTTTAAACCACATCAGATGTGTTACAAAATTGTGAAAAGATTCAATACAAACTCACACGAAGGTCTTTCTAAAAACACACTTCTCGTGTTTTAGGCATCTATGTCTAGTTAAAGATTAGGTTTAGCACAAAGATCACTAAATAATGATTTCTAGTTTGGTAAACCATTAAAGAGTCTTAAGATAGCAGACCAACTTAGATTTTTGTCATGAGCAGTTGCCTTGACTTTTAATTGTGTTATGACCCATTCAGGATCCAACCCATACGCAGAACGAAACCCTTTCTTTCAATCTGAAATCACAAGCAGAGGCTGTGATTTTCGGCTTTCTTAATGCTCGAATCTAACTCGCATTCATGTTGGAAACCGGGTAGAATCAGATTTGGATACTCTAGCTCGGTTTGGGCTACCATATCAAAGGAACATGATACTTTCTGAAACTTGCTTATTTTGAACCAGGTGGTTGTGGTCATGTCTCGTTTTGGCATGACACATGGAATCCATGAGTGACATTTGCTACTACCTTTCCTAAAGTCGCTGTTGGTGCCTCCAATCCTAATGCTCGGATCTCTGACATCATTTCACTTTCAGGAGGAGAGGTAATTTGGAATTTACATTTGAATGTTAATTTGAGAGGGGGGGGGGGTAGAAAGAGAAATAGATAATTTATTTATTTACCTTAACTCCATTGCCAATCATTTTACGTCTAGCAACCCAAGCAGAATTGCTTGGATTCCTTCTTTGAAGGATTCTTTCTCTGTTACTTCTATGTAAAGGTACATCATGAAAGTGAAATATACAGGAATTGTTAACTTCCCGGTTGGGGTTGTTTGGAGAACTATTATCCCAAGCAAGATTTGCTTCTTCCTTGGACACTTTGGCAAAACAAAATTCCAACCTTGGATACGCTTAAAAGAAGAGGAATTGCTCTTACAAATCGCTATGAATTATGCTGCAATAACGAAGAAACTGCCATTCATCTCTTCTCAAATTCTTTTTGTTTGGAACATAATTCGAAGAAAATGTGATCTTGTCAGGATTCCATACGGCAACATAATATCAATAATTGATGACTCGAATTCCATTGTTCTTGGTCATATCCAAGGATGGTTCTTCAAATGTATCCTTCACGTACTTTTTTGGCAGATTTGACTTATAACAAAATAAGCGCATTTTTCACGACTCAAAGACACGTGCTGATATCATTGCCCGCAACTCAGCCAAAAATGTGATCACTTGGCTCACTGCTTAAAATAAAATCGGCAAAGACCATGGGGCAGCTTGGATTTCTGATTTTCTTATCAGAATTTGAGCCTCTTTAATTTTTCTAGCCCTCTCGATGCTTTGTGCTGTTTATTTTTTCTGCTTTTTCACAGTGGGGGTAGCTTGTTCTGCCAGACTGTCCTTCTTTCCTCTGTTCTTTTTCCCCCTCTTTTTAATCAAGAGTGGTCTTGTTTGTGTTTTTCTTTTTTCCTTACTGTTCGCTGCTTTTTGGTTCAGATCTTTTGAACCATTGTATTTGGAATCCTTTTCTTCTTAATACAATCACCATTATAAAAAAAAAAGTTGATTAGTATCATCACTTTCTCTTCCAACACCATCATTAGCCAACTCATACAGTCCAAGCCTTCTCCTTAGTTTCTCCAAGTTGTCCAACTGAAACTCATCTCCAACTGATGAAAGCTCACCTCTGTGAGTTATGTGATTCCTAACAAAGTTGCAGTAAAGAAAATCCGAGCTCTCTCTTTCTAACCATTGAATCATCTCCTTTTTCCTGAAAACTCTTTACATTCGTACAAGCTTCTCATGACTTCTTGGAGAATAATGTCAGCCATTACCTTGACATTCACAATCTCATCATACAAAGATAGGACCTTGTCAAATTGCATAATCTTCACAAACCCATTCAGAAGCATAAAAACAATTCGAATCTCGAAGGAAAAATAGCAATGGCTCTTCATTGATCTAAATACCAAAAACAAAACAACACCTGCAGCATCGAAGGTTATCTTGTTAGCCACATATGCTATGAATTACCTCAAACCCCAAGAGGGATCTCATCAATCCCAGAATAACCATCTCAAACCAAGCCTTCTTTTCCTTCCGCAACCACAGATCCCTGTGGTTGCTCCACCCTTGTCTCTCTAGCTCCTAGAGGACAATGGAGGGCCTACCATGGAATTTTACTCTCAACGAACTGTAGCTTAGGCTTGATAGCCTGCTTCCATTCTGCTCCCTTTGTTGCTTGCACAAAACACTTAGAATCTTCTGGTTTAATCATTGTTTCATAAGATTCCAACTCCTTACCACCTACTTCATCGATATCTAAAATCCCTGAAAAACTCTTGGATCTGAGTTCCGGTGAAGCAGGAGAATGAAGACCTAACACATTAATCTCCACTAAATCCTCTTCTCTTTGAGACTTCATTCCACCATATTGAGTTGCAGCTTTTGTTGCTTGATTCATATCTTCTATTGGAACTGGAGTCTCTCTATCAAATTTAGCACCTGAGTGCCATACCTCCTCACCACACCTCATTTCTTCATCTCCAATAGCCTGTAGACAACGATGCTCTAATTCTGTTGTGGAGGCAATGTACTCAGCATGCAACACAATTATTTTGTTTGTCTTTATGAATTTCTCAAACAAGAAACCTTTTCATTATGAAAGATCTTGCAAGCTCCCGTCGAATAAGAAAACTTAAGCCCTTCTCTTGCATCCTCCATATACTCAACAAATTGGTTTTTAGCCCTGAAACATACAACACATTCTTAATCACCAAGTTTCTTCCTCCCACCTTCGTCTTTATTGTTCCCTTTCATTGCACCTGAAGTCTAGTACCACTGCCAGACTTAACAGTACAAGAGAAAGAAAGAGCAATACTAGTTAACCAATTCTTGTTACCATTCATGTGATCTCTGCCCATCTCACCATGACCGGCAGAAGAATAGTGAGCCATTTGATTCTTCACATTCAAAACCGAAGTGACCAAATTTATTTCAATTAAAGCATTTAACAGTTTCTTGATTCCATCTTCTTCCTCTTACTCTATCTTGGTCAACTCTTCTTCCTTGACCTTTGTCACCTCTTCCATCAAACCCATGAGCCATACTATGAACTTGATCTCCTCAAACACAGATTTTTTATGCAACTTCTGTTCATGGACTATCCAAGAACTTTGAAGATCATCAACTGAAAGCAATACAAAGTCCTTTGATTCTTCAATTGAACAAACTATATAGTTAAATTTCTCAGTCAAGGTTCTGAGACTTTTCTCCACAACGTGAACATCAATCATGTTCTCTCCACAATTCCTCATGGAATTAACCACCACCATAACTCTACCAAAATACTCAGTTATTGTCTCACCTTCTGTCATTTCCAACAACTCAAATCTTCATCTCAGTCCTTCCAGTTGAGCCTTTGGAAGTCGTGCACTTCCTTTGAACTTCACTATAATTGCATCTCGTATATCCTTTGCAGTAGCCGTTCTTGTGATGGTCTTTAAGATAGTCTTCTCGATTGAAAAGAAAAGGTAATTTTTGCATTCAAATTAGGGGTGGGCATCGGTTCGGTCGAAACCGAACCAAAATGGAGCATGTCGGGTCCCCGGTTCACAGAAACTCTGAAACCGATTTCAAATTGAAATATATTTCGGTTTGGTTTGTCCGAACAAAAATATATACCGTTCGCAATCGGTTTTAAGTCGAAACAGAACCAAAATGGAGCATGTCGGGTCCCCGATTCACAACAACTCTAAAACCGATTTCGAATCAAAATATATTTCGATTCGGTTTGTCCGAACAAAAATATATACGGTTCGCAATCGGTTTTCAGGCCCAAGCCGAATTTGCAGACCCGCTCTTATCTTCTGCGTCAAAACTCTCTCTCTTCCCATTCCTTATTTTTTCTGCTCTGAATCTCTCTAACTTTTTCCCCTCTATTACATGCTGCCAACACCCACCTCCAACTCTTCCTTGTCCCCTCTCTAGTAGCAGCATCAACCATCGGATACCACCGCCACAGAGGAAGCATCAGCGTCGTTGTCACCTCCGAGAGAGACCCTCAGATCCAAGAAGCATCATCTTCTTCTCCTTCTCGCCATTGGCTTCTCCCTTCACTTCGCCTTCAGATCCAACGGCTTTGAAGAAAAACCCTCGATCTCAGACTTCCCTCTCCTTTCTGTCTTGGCGGTCGCCTGCCGCTGTGTGATGTCTGAGGTGAGATGGGATGGGGGTGGGTATTGTCTAGGGTTTCAGTGGGTTGGGCTAGGGTTGTCGATGAGTTGTTGTACTTGTGGTGGATGAGAGAGTGGGTTGTGTAAGGTGTTGCGGGATGGGGGTTTTGGGTGTTGTGGGCCTAGCAAGGTTGTCAACCCGGTTTAGCCCGTTGGCCCGGTCGAGTGGGTTAATTGGCCGACCGCTTAGGCCGGATATATGAAAATAGTCATTATATTGTTCATACATTTATAAATTATATCAAACATATGAATAATAACCTATAACATTATATCAAAATAACTTGTCGTGCTTGAATTCAACTTATAGTGAAAATTCACCCACTTATGTAACATCAATATTCAATTTTCCAACTTAGAATTAAAAAGATTGGGTTACGCAAAAAAGAACCCCAAAAAATAGGCACATTTCGCAAACCAAAGGAAAAAAACAGTACAGTTTGAGCTCCAACCCGATACCTTGCAGTGGTCGACCCGGCGGGTGTGTGTGACCCGTTTTTCTCACTTGGTCAGGGTCAAATGGGTCGACCCGTGGGTTGACAACCTTGGGGCCTAGGTTTTATATGGGTTGGGATAGGGTTTTAGTGGGATGTGGTAAGAGAGTAGCTTAGGGTGGGCTGTTGTGGGCATATTCGGTTTTCGGTTTGGAATCCGGAACTTCAGTTTGGTTGGAAGTACCTGACTCGCTTTTACCGTCACACTAGAAAGTGGCCAAGTGTAACCACCTATTAATGCATAGTATAGCGGGTTTAGCTTTATTAGTCAACCCGAGTCCTAGGTGTGATTACTACTTTGTGAGATTCTTGTTATCTAGCTGTTTAACTGTAGTGAAGTTTTAACTAATCTAACCAAACACAAAGCAACTAAGTTGTGATTCAAGTTCGAGAGAGGTCACCCAAATATGGTTCCCCCTAAATTGCAGTTAAGCCGAATTGTAATTCACCAAGTCCATATTCAAAGACAGTTATACTGCGGAAAGTTCTTAATCAGTCTGAAGTCTCAACTAAAGGTCTCCAAACCCTCTCAATCTGAATACTCGGCGGGCAACTAACCTCCACCGGAGTAAACAAACTGAGGCCCTAACGTGCAAAACCTCCTCTACTGGAATAAATCCAGTACAAAGCAGTGAATTGACTCCTCGACTAAAGTAGTCAATTCACCACCTTCATTTAAGGGTGCTCTATCAACCTAGGCAGACATTCTCTTTCTATGTCAAAGCAGAAACCACAAGAATGTGATCGGGATTCATGCAATTCAAAAATCATGCCTCAATTGAATAAAATCAATGTCAAAGGATCAAGTACTTGGGTTCATACAATCAAACCTAACATACAAATCTAGGGTTATTCATACCGAGGTGAGAGATGGAGTTTACTCCATAGAGAGAGAAGAGAAATCAGTTTCAGATGCAGAAATCATCTTGTGGAGGATGATAATCAGCTTCTGGTTGTCAATCGCCATTTCTCCATACTTCAATCGAGCTCCAATGGCGTCAAAACTCGATTTAGGTTACCTTAGAGGCTTAGTTCATCGCTTTCTCTCTCTAGGTTTTTCTTTCTTGCTTAAAACTTGGATCCTAGACAAAGAACCCGAAATTGCCTTCAAACAACCCTCCTTCTCGAAACCCGTTCCAATTACCCGGTCGAGTTTTAAGAGAACCGGCCAGGTTTCTTCAAAATGGCGCGCGACGTCAGCGGGTAAAAACCTGGTCTCCAGCTGGAATTACCCGGTCGTGAACTGTGGGTCCAGGCCGGGAAATTTCCCTGAGCGTTTACACGGTCTCTAGTTGGAATTACTTGGTCGGATAACTGAGGTCCAGGCCGTGGAATTTCCCTGGAGTGGTTCCCCGGTTGCTAGCCAATTTCCCCAGTCGGGTTTTTGATGACCAGACCGGGGATTTTGGCCCTTACACTCCTCCTTCCGTTTCCATGGTGTTTTTGACCCGAAACTCACCTCCAAGCCTTCCTTTCTGCTCCAGGTCCTTAAATATGACATAAAAGCACAACCTAGCGTGAAATCGACTTAAAACACGAGAATCAACTCTCAAACGGTTCAAGATTAGTGGGAAATAACATGTACAAATAACGATTTATCAATACCCTGGTTTCCGAAATAGCCACATTTCTCTTCTGATTTCTGAACCGAACAATAATATTTAGGTTTTGGTCCGTTTCGGGTTTACCGAACTGGATGCCCACCCTTACTTCAAATCCTTCAACCTTTGATCTACTAGATTCTTGGTTTGGACAATTGATAGTTCCTCCTTTGCTACAGACTCGTGATTACTTCATTGACACTCTCCAGTATTCTCTAAAACGAAGCAAATTCTCCACCAGGAGACACCAATGATCATAATCCCCATCGAATTTGGGGATGCTCATGTTAGAAACCGGCAGGTTGGGCCGGTTGGGTGAGGGGTGGCCATTTTGTAATTTTCTATTATTTTTGTTTAGTATTTAAGAGGAGGAAACATTGTTCTACAGATTAGTCAATAATGAATATTTCAACCTAAATCCCTAAATTCCCAATTCTCTCTATCTCTTGTTCTTCCCCAATCTCTCTCTCAAATCCCTAGTTTCTTCTCTTCTCAATCCCTAATTCCCTTGTGGAACTTCTTTGTTTCTAACATCTGGTATTAGAGCCCGGTTCCGATCGGTGAGTTCTTCCCAACTCCATTAGGGACAACTTCAAACCAGAGAATTACCAAGGACAGCGATGGAGAAATCAGAGCAGACATGGGCTCAGAAGCAAGAAAGGATGTGGCAGATTGCGAGCTATTGGAAGGAGGGGGCGGCGCGAGGCAGCCGCGGCAGAGGAGGCGGAGTCGGCGGCGCTCGGGGAGGCTGGCCGAGGCGGGGAGGACGCCGCGCTGTGGGCGGCGGCGCGCACGACTGCGGGCGGCGGTGCGGAGCAGGGACCGTTCGTCGGGGCTGTCGGAGAAAGGCCGAGGATCGCGCAGGCCGCGGAGGGGTGCGAGGCTAAGGGCGGCAGCGCCGGAGGTGGCTCGGACGCGGGCGCGGAAGGAGGGGAGCCGGCGGCAATTTCGCTGCACTCCGTAGCCGGGATTTCGTCGCCCGGAACCCTGAGATTTCGAGCGAAGGTGGCCGGGAAGCAGGGTCTCGTCCTTGTTGACAGTGGGGCATCGCTGAATTTTATCGCGAAGGACTTTGCTAAGACCTTACAGTTGGCAGCGAGTCCGTCGCAACCGGTGGTGGTCAGAGTGGCTAATGGCGCACCGATGCGGTGCGTTGAGGTGTACAGAGACCTGACTATGGAGATCCAAGGCCTCGAGGTCACCACT